CTGTTGGCGGCGATCCACCAGACAGGAAGTGCTCCTTCACGAGTTCGCAGCGAAACCACATACGAACGCTTGGTGAGATACTCACAAAGGTGCCCACGCGGTGGCGAACACCGTAGTCGCGAAGCCTCAGGAGGAGGCCGTCCTCTTCGTGGAAAATGGTGTGAAGGTGATGACGAACAGTCATCCATATCAAAAACTCAGTGCTCTCTTCCTCGGAGCTATTTTGCGCAGCACGGTTTCGGCGTGGAACCATTCTGGCAAAACTCTTCTGCAGTGCAGCGTACTGCTCGGGGTTGCGAAGTGCAGCTTTCCAGCGATCTTTGTCGACATTCCCACAACCTTTTTCCCACTCTGAGCGCAAATAATCCAAACTTGGCAAGACTGGTAGCAGCAGACTTACCTCCTTGCTGAGGTCTTCACGCGTCTTCTCCATGTATGGTTCGAACCCACTACATGCTTGTTCCAGTTTCACGAAGAGGACCTCGTATGGATTCCTCAGCCACTGACTTTTAACAGAAACTTCTGCAGCCGTGCTGCTGCTGCCGTCGTTCATATTCCGCGACGCCAAGTACTCAGCATACGTTATCGTCCGTCTTCTGATAACACTTAGACACAGAAACAGGAGACCTTTTAAGAGGATGGCATGCTCTGCCGTCCGCCGCGCGAAACCAGCGAGGAGGTGTAGCGCCAGGTCTATTATGGCCAGAGATGCAAGTGCGCTGTGAGTAATGAGGTGGTAGAGGGCGGCGACCAGACACTTGCACCCTTCCTGTGCCCTCGTCTGAACGACGCATTGAAACATGCGGTTCACGAATGCTTCGCACGGAGGTACGGTCAATGCCGCCAGAGGGGTGAAGGACTCATCGTGCAGTTGGTCCACGTCCCAGATCTCTCCAAGAAGGTCTCCCAGGGCGAGCGCCTCCCTCCCCTCCGAATTGTCTGTTGTGGCTACCGCCGACACGCCAGAAGGGAAAATATCAGCAGCGAGGGCGCACCCTGCCACATCATTTTCCCCCTCGAAAAATCCGGATTTAAGCATGGCATCCAACAATACGACACCACCAGACAGACTCTGCATGCATCCACTTGTTAACACCCGACGCAGGAGCCCATTATTTGCGACACTAGAGTTCATAAGTCGCTCGCGAAACAAACGACGCAGCCGATCCACCTTATTTAGCAGCAGCCATCGGGTGAGAATACACAGCGCAGTGGATGTGGGAACGAGAGACGATGGGGGTGGTCTTGATGATGAGCAAGACCCAGATGAGTGGGAGCCCGCAGAGGGAACCTCAAGGGACACAAACAGTGGACAAAGGACCACCTTGTCGAGAACATGCTCCAAAGTAGGCGGAACAAATTCATGCGGTATTTCAAAAAGATCATTGACATAAAACAAGTCATCCACAATATCCTCCATGCGATCAATGAGAACACTGAGACTAGGTAGGGGCGGTGAATTTGCAGTGTCACGCCCCACATTGCCATACTCTTCTGTTGCCTCACCCAGACTCTTTATTTGCGACCACAGCAGTAGTGCAATGGGGTCGAAGACATCGTTGAGTGCGCGTTCGAGGAAAGCAGTGATGGCGGGCTCACTGAGATGCGCAACACTAATTACGATTTGCCGAGCAGCTGCGCGCACCATGCGGTCAGGTGCAGCGAGCAGCTTTGCCGCCCGGTCAAATAACGGAAAAGCGCCCGTTTCACGCTCGAAAAAAAACTGCACCGTATCCTCGTTAAGACGCAGCGCTAACGTTTTTAAGAACGAAACATATATGGAAAATAGCTCATCATCGCCCTCATCGAGGGATATGGAGATAATCCTATTGAGGTGATTGTTGCTGCAAACAAAGTAGATAGACGACTTCCTGGTGAGGTTCTGCAGCATCATTGTAATGCACTGGATAGCCTGCACCTTCACTGCAGAAGGGAAACCAGCATTCGTCACGATACGCTCAAATGTACTCATCATGTTTCGCTCCAGAAAGCTATCGTACACGGGCTCCATGTTCTTATCGCTCCAGATGATGACCTCTGCCAACTCACGCATGGCCTCCACGAAGTCGGCTAGTACAAATGCCTGCGTCTCCTCCATTCGCTGCACTTCCTGGCAGAGAAAATCTGCATTTTCCTGTGAAAACTTCTGGTATTTAAGACCCTTTAACTTTTTCATTTACTCCACCACACCAATCAAGGCGACACAACTAAAACTCAACCAAAAAGAAAAACGCCTACACAAGATGAAAACACACTTCATGATATCAAAATGTGTCACCACCACCGAGTAATACAAGCAAAAAAAGAAAAACAGTTGCGTCTTCAAAACGCAATCCGAAGTGCATTGACCGCATAGTCAACGTGACGCTGGAGATCATCGTAAAGCAACGTGTAGGGGTCATCTTTCCCTCTCTTATGAAAAATAGCATGATGCGTCACGTTTACTACACTCGCCGTGTTGTAGTAGCACATGTTTCCGTACGTGTACGACATTATCTCGATCACATGCGTTCCGTGACGCATCCACATGACGTTTGCGAGATTGGCGCCGTGCGGCCCAATCACAACATCCGCATCGTAGAAACGACGCACCTGCTCCGCCACGTTAGATATTCTTGTACTGTCACTAAATATGAAAGTACCGTTGTATTCCACCATCAGTCGCTGCTTGAGTTGATAGTAATTCAGCGGCATTCTCGACAATCTTGCGCGTTCGGCGAAGAAGAGGCGAAGCCTTCTTTGCCTAGTGGGAAGGGGAGGCGACAAGCGCAGTCGGTCAAAAACAACGGCACGCATTGCATGTAGCTGGTGGATGAAGACGCCGCCACAGGTCTCAGGCATTGGGTACAGGACAACCCGGCCATGCACAGGACGGCGCCCCCAAAGAATGCGGGAGGACGGTATGCCGAGGACATCCGTCAGCCACTGTGCCTGAAAACTCCTGAAAGGCGTGCGCGACACCAGCACTGCGTCCTCCCGCTCCAGTAGCACCTTGTGCACGAGGGATAGACGAATCAAGTGCTCATGAATGAAGTAGAAATAGCAAGGGAGCTGCTTAAAGGTACTCCTTAGATGCCTTTAAATGATATGTTTGGGCCTGTGGGCGCCTCCATGCTTAGTACAACTTTGGTGTGACGAAGACAATGGTTTCATCCTCATCACAAGTCACACAGCTTAAGGCATACAGATAATGGACGACGAAGCCTGCCGCCATCACTTTTTCTCTTGTCATGCGTCGGGAGCGCACGTGTAGTGCACCTCAGAGATGCCATTGTGTCATTTATGGATGCTACACACGAAATGTTTTTCATTCCTTTTTATTGAAATCTTTCTGAATCTTACATAAGTATGTGTCGCGTCTAAACACACAAACAAACAAAAAAAAACTGCGAGAGGATGGAGATGTATGGGCCGGACTGAGGAATTGACGAACAAGCTGTATACGATATAGAAATAGTCTAACTGAAAGCAAAGGAGGGAAAGGACTTATTACGAATCTACAGGATCCTCTGACGTGGAACTTCTAGCCTCCCCACTCTCCATGAGGCGCAGCAGGAGCGTCGCCCTTTCCATCAGCTGGTGACGCGATCGCCTCGCGACAAGGACGTGGTGCATTCCCGTCATCACAAGCTCCGCCACCCCAGTGTTAAAGAAATCGACAAAGCCGACAAAAAACATCGGCTCTGGTGCCACAATAAAGCCCGCAATAGAGAACACACCTTCATTCTTATCAAAAGGTATGGACACAATAGACTGACCCATAGTGCTGACTACGAGCTCCACGCGTCCCTGTGAAACGGGCGCTAAAGCAAGGCTAAGAAGGCCGCGACTAAGGATGTGACCTGCGAGCAGCGCATCTTTACGATCACGCGATGACCGCTTGGTGTCTTCCGCTTCGCCTGCTGGTGTGCGATTCACTTTCTCCCCTGCTAAGTCCAGTGGGGTATCCTTCTGCTTGCGGCGCTGGAAGAAAAGGCGGAGTGAGGAGAGATCAAAAAAATTCTTTGAGCTCATGGTTACTGGACGCACACCAGCCGTTTCCTCAACATCACCAGTGTTGTGGTTTGGGTTGCTCAGGCATGACACTCGATGCTTCGCCAGAGTGATGAACTGCTGAATGTCTGGAACAACCTGCATCTTTGGTGTACCCCCGTTCACATCGCAAAGAATAACCACACGCCCCAAGCTGTCAAGGATGACAAGACTTAACACACCTACAGCTTCTTCTGTTACAGGTGAAGAGACCTCCAAACTAGACTTTTCTTTTCTTTGCTGGTGTTGCAGAAACTGGTTCACAACAGGGTTACGATATCTCTCATTGTTGTGAATACCCCAAGGATAAACAAAGGCAAGATCTGCGATAGGACCACCAAATCGGTATGGCAGACGCCTCCCGTCCTCATGGAAAAGAACAACGCGACCGTTCGTCATTCCTAGCGCGATGATGACGTGCGATAAAGCCTGCTGAACTGCCACGGCGCAAACCACACCATCCGTGTGACAGTGTGCCAGCCATGATGTAACACTTGTGGGTGCTTGGGCGAACCACTCCACATTCCATTTGCATGCGTCGTTTGGCACTTCGCTGCAAACTACGAAGGATAAAACACCTGAAAAGACACCCCGGGGATCTCCTGGTGTGAGAACATGCCGGTTACGCTCCTCATTATGCGTAAGGCGCGCATCCTTCCGCACCGTTTCATCGTAGCAACTGCAGAGCACAACATGATCGCTTGTGAAGGACGCGCCGGTGAAAAGTGGATGATAAAAAAGACGCAGGAGACGTTGCTGGTTTCTCGCTTGAACAAATGACGTTTCATTCACCGTGAAAGGGGCACTTTCCACTGCAGACAGCACACTTACCAGTGGGAAGAAGAGGGCCGTGATGTGTTGCTGGCACCCACCATCGCTCTCCCACGCAACAATGGCGCACACCTCTTCAGCGACGACGCCCTCTTCGCAAAGAGTCCCATGTACCTTGTGTGCTGCTGGCCGCAGGAGAAATGCGACAAGCGATGATATGCGTGCAGCGTTTGTTTGAGCGTGGGGACGCCACAGTCGCACTGATGCGAGCGAGCCGTCAGAACTCTCGAGATCAGGCCCTAAAAGGTACACCGCCTCGCGCGTGGCGACCACGCAGCAGGAGAAGCCACCGACCGTGTCGACAGCGTACTGCAGGACCGCCACGCACCCCACAGAAGGTGTGCCTGGTATCCCTGTCGCCTCGCCGCAGCTCGGTGGCAGCGAAGTCGCAGTCATGCACGGGACAGGCAAACCCCGACTAAATATCTTTATTGCGCACAAAGGGGAGGAAGAGTGTGGGGACCTTCGCCGTTAACACGAGACGCACCGTGATAAATAGGCGTGAGAAAGCACTTTCATTTAAAGTGTACACCAAATCCAGTCATCTCGGTTTTCTTGTGAGCTTCTCGCAGTACTACTGCTAATTTACAATGCATATATATATATATATATATNGAGAGTGTATTCCCCATAGCAATGTGATGTGCACACTGACTCATGGGTCATGCCATAAATTACATACACTCTCATTAGCACATACTTACTGAATACTTCTCGTTTTGTCCAACTGCGCGATCTTCTGTTTCACCAACATGTCAAGCTCCCTCTTTAGTTTCGGCTTGTATCCAAAGTAAAAAATAATCTCTAACCACACAAAGAAGACGCTGGAATGAATGGCTTGCAGCGGATCATCCAAAAGCGCTGGAGCGCGCCGCTCAAAGAGCCCATGCGCAATAAACTGCGCGATCCAGCCACTCACGTGAAGTGCAAAAGAAAGTGCCACTCTCGATAGCAAGAAGTGCGACGCAACGCACTGCATCATGAAAATAAAAGCGGCGTACGGAATCCCCGCACCGGGTTCCGTCTTGATAAAGGAGACGGCGTACAACCCAGCAACGATCAGCGACATGTCAACGAATTCTGTCACCTTCACCCGCGCCAGAAAACTCAACGCTGTCGTGAAGATAATCGGCACAAAGGTGATGTGCAGGAGCTTATTTCGCCAGTCGTCGTGGTAGGCTCCATAGAAAACAAAGCCTTCCCTGAGTGTGCAGCTGTTTCTAAAAAAATGCAGCATTGTGCTAATGTGTATACTACAAGAAAACATACAAACGGGAGAGAGAATGTGTTCACAAAAGGCATGTAAGACGAAATTGCCCCAATGGTGTACGCTGCGATACAAATGCTACTATGCAATCGAAGCGAGAGGCAGAGAAACATATATTCCAGGCGAAGCCAAGCGCTACACACCAAAGAACAAACTGTGTTTAACGCACTGCCTTTTTTTCCCCCACTCTCTCACCTCCTGCAGGTGATGGCGAGGCCGAAAGAAACGAACGCCCACACCATGTTACCCAGTACTACTCCTAAAGCGTTTTGTAGATATCGCTTTCCCGTGGAACAGGCTTCAATCAACAACACTTCACCAGATATGAGTTTTCCCATTTCGCAGCTTCACCAACTCGTACCCTTCCTCATCCAAGACGCCCTTAATGTGGGCAATTGCAGCACGCTCTTTGCGCTTCTGAATTGTGCTTCCGAGCCCATCAAATGCGTCCTGAAGATGTGTGAGACACGCGTTCCACCACAATTTCACTCGGAATACCGCCTCCGTATGAAGCATGATAGTGCTGCGACTGACTTCTTTTTGCTTCCGTTCAATCTCCCGCTCGTGCTGCCGCATCTTCTCCTTCAATTCAGAAAAAGAGCTGGGTGCATTAAAGTCAGGGATAAGGCTCTGTGGATCCAGCATTGCCAGTCGGTTTGACTCCACCACGCGCTGCACATACCGCTGCTCCTCCTCGAGGTTGCCGCTCATTGACTTACTAAGAAGATAGTACACTACACATATGGTGGTTGCACCGATGCCCATCGAGGCAAGGAACACCTGCAGGCGCTTGGCACTTACAAACGGCTTTGGTTCTACATACGGCTGCAGGAGTTCTGGCGCCTCTGATGCAGACGGGGTGTAGGCCGACAACTCCTCTGTCACTGCCGCTTCATTTACTGTTTTCTCCTGCTCCGATTTTGTCGCTGTCGAGGAGGTAGGAAACGACGATTTGACATCCATCGCCAGAGCCGTGAGGAAGACTCCCGACCGCCGCATCATCCCTGCACCCTCCCCTCCTCCTCCTAAAGATCTTACAGTCAGGAAGAGAAGCCAAAAAATGGGGGAGAAAACGCCGTGCACACGATGTATCGGAAGAGAGAGGGCAGACAAACGAGCGAAAACCAGAAAACAAAACGAAGAAAATACGTTTCTGTGCCGCTTCTATGCTCTCTTTCGTACCGTCAGAATTCCCATGGCTGGCGGCACATGGGGCAACCTGCATTCCCTTCCTCGCGCTCCGCCCACCGCTCGATGCAGTGGATATGAAACGTGTGCGTACACTTCCCCGTGAGAATCGGGCAGTCGTCGCCGGGGAAGCGGCACTGCGGACAGCACGCCTCGAAGGGATGGCGGCAGATGCCGCACGTGTCGTCTCGGCAGTCCCATAGCCATCGCGCAACCAGATGTGCCCCCTTGATATTTACCTCCATCGGGACCAAGACAGTTCCTTTCCTTCATAGTGACGAGACAAATCACAGAACACCAGCGGAAAAATAGCAAGACACCCCCCACGAAAAAAAAAAAAAAACGAGGCATGTGGTGACCTCCAGAAAATAGAGAAATCCAAGAACCACAACAGTACAGACAATGCTCTCAGCATGGAGGAGGCATCTATTTGACATATATCGCTCCTCCCCCATCTAGAGTAATGTGCACCTTCCGTCCCTCTCACTTTCCTCGCGTCGCACAAGCAGCAGAGCAAAGAAAATCCAGTGAGATGCTCTCTAAATCTAGAATTCAGCTTGAGACTTCCTCACCTCATGTCAATGGCTTAACCCGTCTGCTAATCCGCGCCACCTCATCAAGCAATTGTAATGGCAACTCCCGTCTTCCGGCTCCATACGCACCTGGCTCAAGGGAACTGTTCTCGCCACCACTCGCATCTTCCAATGATGCCATATAATGCAGCGGGTTCTGCGGTTCGTTTTCGCTCCAGTGATTTGCGGTATTGGCTGGAGTCTCTCTTGGCCGGCTGCCGCTGAGACTTTGCTCACGGTTCGCCAACATCATTTCTCCAATGGTAGCACTCCTCGTGAGAAGCATTTCCTGCTGCTGCACCTGCTCACGAAGCTGCATATGCAGGCGTCGCGCGATGCGCCGCCTTAGCCACACTTTCTCCGTATCTGAGATACCGTCGGGGGCGTACACGCTGGGGTAGAAGACATATGTCTCGGGTTTTGCCTTCTGGATTTTCTCCAATGTCCCCTTATCCGGCATGGGGGGCACCAACGACGCCAAAAACTCCACCACGCAAAGGCAAAAGAATAGTATAGACAATGCAGACGTTACTGGCGTTGAGTGGCGGATGTGAACCTCAATTAGATAATCGGGGCATAGAATTTGTGCCAAACCACAGGAAGCCGCGTCATTCCCCTGAAATGACGAGCAGGGCATCTCGTGCACCGTATGTATGAGAACGGACAACGCGTAGGCAGAAAATGCACATGTAGCCACACTAAATGCAATATGAAGTGCTGTCATGACAATGTAAAACAGGGGCCGTGAGTTTTCCCGAGCCAACGTTCGTGTCGTAAAATAACTCACTGCTGCTGCTAATAGTGATGCTACAAACATACCACACGTTGCTGCAACAACGAAATGCCCAGGGCCCGATACACGACGGAATAAAAACGCAGTGGCCGCATTTTCTATTGCAGAGTTTCTGTTTGGATCACAGAATGAGGTGTGACAATCACTGTCCGATGATTCTTCGCTCCCTATTGCAGAGGTGTCAGTCGAAGTCTGACGACAGAATGTCTCTATAGTGGCATTAACATGGATTATGAGCACCAATCCCACGATAAATCCTATCAGTGCTGTAGGAAAGGCTATCAAGAAACGAATTCGATTTCGGCGCAGTACGGGATGTAGTCCACGCCGTAACACCTCCATCACTTGAAGGTCTAGCTGGTTAATGTTGGGATACCTCATCCCGATGAAGGGCGATTCTCTGGAATCCGCTTCACTTTGTTTCTCACTTTCAATACTCTGTGTGCTCCCACTTACCTTGGGAAGCACCATCTGAGGATTATAGACTGTTCTATCAAACGCCATAGTATCCGTGTTGGAACTCTGCGCAAGGTCACCGGTGCTGAATGCAACGACACGTGCCCTGGATGCATTCTGGGTGTCCGATTGTACGCCATCACGAGTTTCAGACACATTAATACTCACGCGTCGACCCCTACGCAACATTGGTAACTGCATCGGGCTCCAAGGTGCACCACTGGTGCTGTATTCCAAAGCAAGAAGAGTGCGACATCTCACAGTAGGCTCACCTCCTTCATCTTCGGCGGCATCTATGTCAGGGAGTTGTCTGCGCCTAGCTGACTTGGCGCAGAACACTGCCATTCTCTCCCGATCAGTAGAGAGTATCACTACATCAATCTCCATCTCATTGAGGAAATTGAAGAAGAGTTTGACAGGCAGCTTACTTTTCTTCTCTCGGCGCCCCTCTTCCATACCACCCAAAAAGCGAGCCCTCGTTGCCTCAATGATATCATTGCTGCGCCCCGTCGTCCTCCAGAGACCCAGCGATGCAGCGACAATGACGCTCTCCATACGAAGCGGTGAGCAGTGGAAGGTGGACCGCTCCAATGTCTCCACAGCAGATTGCTCGCTCTTCTCTAAACACACCTCAAGCGCTGGTGACTCCTCCAAGTGCGCCAAGTATGACTCAGGTATGGGTTTCAGCACCACAACCACGCCACTAAGGTCTAATCTATCCGCGCCCACCGTAAGGCTAAGGAGGTTCCGGCGGCGGTACGCACGCTCGCGGATGAGCGGATCGAAGTCCATCGCCAGACGGCTGCTACACGGGCTCTGCGGTGCCGCGGCTTCATTCATGGGCGACCCTCTTGTTGAAAGTCTGCATTTATGCATGTGTGTATGTGCATATGTATGAATGGGGTGGTGTTGAAGAAGCAACAACAGAAATGAAAATAATCAGCCAAGCGGAGGGACTTGAATCTTACACTTCACTCCTCCTATTCGTCTTCACCACGGAGCCAAACCAGAAAATGGTCTTCCAAGTAAGCAGTCTTTTAAAGGAAAAAAAAAAACCTCAACAAAAGACCACATCATACTTCATCTTCCTCAGGTGTAGTTGTCTCACTGTCGCCTTCACTCGCTGAGAGTTCATCACCAACAGGGTACGTCGTCATGGCATTCACATCGGCCACTAGCTGCCTGAAGGAGTCAAAATTCAGAGCACCGGCAACGTATGCGGTACACAAATAGTGGCAACAGTCTACTGGATGCTGCCATTCACGCATAACAGCAGCGGCCAGCTGCTCCAAACTCACAGCGGAACCATTCTTCGCCTCTCGCTCGGTAAACGTGTGTAACAGGGTGTCTACAACTGTGGCGTATCGCTTAAACAGGGAATACAACTCCAATGCCTCGGGGGTATCGTTTGCAGCGTCAAGCTTCTGCATGACGTCATGCTCTTCCCACAAAAAGTTTCCAATCGCATCAGTGTTCGCTCCCTCACCAAAGAACATGTCTAGGCGTTCCAGGAGATTGCCCTCGGCCATATTCCTCTTCTCTCTTTCCAATTAGTGCGCGCGGAACCTTGTACCCCTATGGTTTATGAGTTGAATACCAACAAGGGAAAACAAAATATAGCAAAAAAAACACAAATAGAAATACGTTTGAGAACTGCTGTGTTAACAACAGGGTGCCTGCACAGCCAACCCGTGAATGTCCGTGTGGCTCACTCTAGCCAGCCCTTCTCATTTTCGTGTAATAGGTTTACCAACGAACAAAAAGAGTAATAAATAGAGTTTAATAAAATTTGGGCAGTGGCGCAGGGATGGGGCGAGGGCCAGTGGGATTTGCGTAGCGGAGAGCGGCGCACCCTTCTACTGGGCATTGCTGTTACCATGGTCTCCTCTGCCTTTTTTTATGCCACGCTATACGTTTCAATCAGTTCTGGTTCAATCTGTTACCTTTTACCCACAATTCTACCCCATTTTCCTCTGCCCTTTTTATTTCCTTTTTTTTTTTAGAAAACTCCCAAAACACGCAGAAGTCCTTCATGCGTCCAGGTCGTTCAGGTCTGCTGCAGGCTTCTTCGCCACACCCTCCTCGTCGTCCTCCGCATCCTCGTCGTCTGAATCACCCATGTCCATGCCCCCCATGCCTCCCATGCCCATGCCGTCCATGCCTCCCATGCCCATGCCCCCCATGCCTCCCATGTTCATCATGTTGGAGAGGTCGCCGTAGTCGCCAAAGCCGGCCGGCGCTTCGTCCTCCTCATCCTCGTCCTTCCACAAGTTCCAGTCCACGGAGAGCCAGTTCGCCGTGCTGCTGGTGGGCTGGTCTACCAGCTTGTTCCAGTATCCCTCATCCTTCTTAATCGCGCACACCTGGATAGCGACACCTACCACCTTGAAAGTGGACTTATCGGGGATGATCTCCTTGATGAGGGCGATCTTATCATTCAGATCGTGCGGCTCAGACGCCTTGGGTGTGATGCCCTTCCCAGTGATGCTGATTGTCTTCTCGGTGAACTCAATCTTCACATCTGTGGCGCTGCTCACCTGAAGAGTAATGTAAAGCTTGTCTTTACGCTCAGCCCACTTGGTCGGAATGTGTGCCATTTTGTTTCTTAGCAGAGTGATAGGGGCGTTTAATTATTCTTCCGCCAACACATCCACACACAAAGAATAGCGAAAGGCATAGAGAGAGAACAAACAGAAAAAAAAAGAGAAACAAGAACACGGATGAAAGATGTAGGTAACACAAGTGAATCTATTCACCTTTATTAACACAGTAACACTCCTCCCCTCCGAGAAAGGATCTTCCAAATTGTTTGTTCATTTTATTGCGCGCCGCCATCGTAGGCTGTTTGACGGCGGATCTCTTTGGGTTGATTAATGCAGGTCGCGGGTTGTTTTACTCTCGCGGTGCCTCACGGATGTACAGAACGTTATTGCAGCGCAGCAGCATCTCACCGAGCTCTGTCTCCTGCTTCGCCTTCTCCACTGTGTCCCGAAGTTGGAGGTTCATGTAGGGGTCACAGCTGACCAGCGTGCCAACATACACGGGGCCCCACTTGCTCTTGACGTGCACGGTGCTGCCGACAAGGCTCGCCAGAAATGCTGCCGGCACGTTCGCGTCCATTGTTTCCCTAGATGCCGCACCAAACCTTTGCAAGAAGCACATGACAACAACAACAACAATAAAAAAGGAAGACCATCAAATAAACCGCACACAAACACGCAAAGAGAGCCGCGTAGGCTCAACAAGAGAGAAACAACCCAATGGAAGCCACAAAACAATTATACGGCACATCCGAGCCAAGCTTGATGCGATAGACATGTGAAGCAAAAAAAAAAAAAAACCATCAGACCCTTCCCCACCACCACAAAAATCTGCTAGAGGGACTTTATCCTCAACTTTGTATTGCGTCCGTTTCTTCAAGGGGTAGCTCCACGGGTTGTGCAGTGAGATGAGAACTTAAGGTGACTCAGAAGATCGTTCTTCGGGCATGTCAACTTGCATCCAGTGCAGTTGAAGTACCGCAAGTAGCCAAGCCGACTATATTCCTCTGGCACCTCCCCAGTGAAACTGTTCCCGGCGAAGTTTACACGCGTAATGTTGCCTGGGAGCGGGGGAAGCGGGCCCTCCAACCGATTGTGCTCCAGCTCCAACCACCCCAGGCTGCGCAGTTTCCCTACCCACTCGCCAAGCTTCCCGGTGAATTTGTTGTAACCAAGCGATATTTGGTGCAGCTGCTGCAAGCTGCTTAGATCCGGTATTTCCCCGTCGAACTCATTGTGATCCAGCAGGAGAACCACGAGATTACTCAATGTCGGCAGTGTTTTCGGCAGCCTCCCGCCAAATTGATTGTACGCCAGATTGATGATTTCCGCATGAATATTTCTTATCATAAAGTTATCCGGCAGTGTCCCACTAAAACGGTTGTGCGCCACATCCAACTTCTGCAGAAAGCAGTGGTAGCTGGTGTCCCACAAAGGACCACTCAGCTTGTTATACGCAAGCCCAATAGTGCTCGTCATTTGAAAGGCCTTGAACTCCTCCGGGACCTTGCCCTCCGCTTCGCCACTGTAGTGCTCCAGGAACAGCAGTCCGCCATCTCCTTCTGGGGGAAACGCGTGCCAGCCGCCGTTCACGCAGCGCGTGCCGGATGGTGGAGGATGCGCCCGCTCGTCGTTGTCCCACGCACACGGTTCCTCTGTTTCCCAGCCCCTGCTAAACTGACTAGGCCACTTCTCGCGCCCCCTCGTGTTGTTGTAGAACTTTTTCAGCGCCAGCGACGTCACAGAGGAGTTGAAGAAGAGGCTGTGGTTGCACCCGAAGAATCCTCCCTGGGCAGTCGTCGCCGTTGCCAGAAGCAGCAACAACAACAGCAGCATCTCGCCAACCTTCCGTCGACGTGTCGCCATCCCCTCTATTATGTGTACTTTCCTTCTGTTGCCGCCTAAATTGCACACACTCGGAGCCGCAACCACGCGTGTGTGAAGTCCGGCGGAAAGACGAAGCGAAACAAACCACACAGGAAGGAAAAGGATTCTATATGCGGCGAGGAGTGGTGGGGCCCCAGCCGACTGCACGTGGCGGCGGAAGCCCAACAGGAAACAGCAGCTGAGGCGCAAAAAAATCCCCTCAACTGTTTTTGTTTTGTTTCTTGGGGGAAGAACACGGCGACCAAACAACAACACCAAAACAAAACAAAAAAAACAAAACAAAAAAACAAAACAAAAAAAAAAAAGAGCGCAAAGCGCGGCCACATCTCCCGGAGGAGTGTGTAGTGGGTGACAAAGGCCCGAGAAGACCATCTAAAGCAAGCAAACACAAACCAAAAAAAAGAAGAAGGAAGAAGCATCGGGGAAAAAAAAAAACACACAAAGAGGCAGAAACACGACAGCAAACAACAAAAACACGAAAAATAAACGTCACACACAAATACTACTGTCCCACACCACGTGCGGATTTGGGGTGACAGGGTGTCCGCTAGCTTTGTTAGCAGCAACAAGGAGTGAACCCTCCTCTTTTTTTTTTTCTCCCCCGTTTCCTTCCACCGTGCTGACGCAGCTCTCTTGTGTCTCCCTTCTTCATTGTTCATCTCATTTTTCATCAGTCCTACTCTTCCTCTGCTTCGTGTGTCTCTGTTTCTTTTGACTTTCCTCCTTCTTCTTTGCCTGTCTCTCACCCTAAATGCATACATGTATGCATACATCGCGGTGTGTGTCATTGCTTCAATGTAACATGCCGCAGCACGTGCTGTGCTGAATTGAAATAAAGCGCCTTCTCAGCGTTGTTACCACTGCTTCTCTTGTGGTTGTAGTGAACACCCTGCATGCAGCGCATGGAGGGTGAAATATGTGTGTCTGTGTGGGGGAAGCAGGCAGCAAAAAGGTACACTAGTTGCGCCGCTTACAAGAAAGGATTCGAAACAAGTACCCGCGGCACACAAAACAAACAAATACAGATACACTTTTTTTTCCCTTATTGAATGAAACACTTTTCACGCGATGCCGAGTGAAAAGGGAACAACAACAACAACAAAAATCACAACAGTAACAACCGTCCGCACAAGCACGGCCTTCAAACGTGACGCAACGCCACAAGACACAAGCACCACCCAAAGGGGCGAAACAGCTAGCGAGGTCACGCACACACACACATGCGTCCATCGGGATGCGTATATATATATATATATATATATATGTATACACCTGCGCCTCTCCCTATACACTCCCTCAGCGGATGGTGCTGCACCGCCACATGCAGGCCCTCAATGAACACAATTGCATTCAGCTTCGTTTTTCCTTTCATTACTCTACCCCAAAAATTGGTTGGCTCAGCTTTATTAAATTATCCCGTCCACCTTTTCATTTCCACCTCTTATTCTCACTTGGTGCACCATCACACCCAACAACACACGCTCTCCTCCACACCAGTGCCATTGCCCACGCACTTCTTTTCCATTTTCCTTTCACCCAACGTTTGTTTTTTTTACTGCGATGCGACGGGTCTACCGGAGGCAGCGTCCCCTCTTTCACCCTTCGCTGCATCACGTCCTTTCCTTTTTCATGACCACCTGGCGCTCTTAATTAACACCGGCCCTTTTTTTTCTTCTTCCTGAACCCCCCGCCTTCTATTCTACGCCTCCCTCTTCCTCTCTCTCGCCTTCCGTGGAGTTGCTTAAGGCGGGGTTTGTCGTCTTTGCCCTGGGCCCCGCACCGTGTGTGGTTAATCCTCCCCCTTTCGCCAGACTCTCGCTCTCCCCCGTCTCTTCGTTTCTTCTCTCTCTCTTTCTTTCTCTTTCTCTTTCCTTCTCTCTCTCTCTCTCTCGCCGCTTCCTTTTTGCATCGATCGCGCACTGCAAACAACACACACACACCACAGAATGTGCCACGCGGGCGCCGCGCTCACGAAGCCGCCACGCGCAGGATTACACAAGGAAATCGTTCGAAACACAAGAAAAAGAAAGAGAAAAAAAACAGAAGAAATATCCTTTTTTTTTGATGGGTGTGTGTGTGTGTAAAGTAATAGATCGGAAAGAAAAAAAACAACAACAACAACAGTAAAACAGAAAACAAAAAGACACAAAGCAAAAGAAAACCAACAAACATTACGTCGGAAGAGATAAGGAAAGGGAACGGGGACTACGAAGAGGGGCAAAAACGTCTCTTGTCTCCGCACCACCATCCACTGGGTTTATTTCTCCCTTTCGATCCTCTTTTCTTGTTTTTCATTTTGCTCTCTGCCGCCTTCACCTTTGCTCAGCTATACCATATACAGTCTGAAAAAGAAATAAAATAAGGTACCAACGCTACATAATACACTGGCGTGCATGTCCGAGTATATACATACATACTCACAGGTATATATATATATATATACATATATACCTGTCTGTATGTCAGAGAACGCCATATGGAATGCAAGAGAAAGTAAGAAAAGCGTGCGCGTGCTAGAAGAATAATAAATGGCTCTCCAACACCAACACAAGAATCACTGATTGTCTTCTCATCCCTTTACTGCTCTTTCCACTCTCCAAATTTCCTCCTGCGCCCATGATTTTTT